TGTAGTCCAGAATGCCCAAGGGCAGTCCTTGTGGAAAGGTTTGTGTTGTATGGTTAAGTAAGTATTGAGCCTGCAAGTGCCAGTGAGTCAAAGCAGAAGCTAAAGAGTAACATATGAGTTTAACTCATGAACTCCAAATGAAGTTTGTAAAATATATCCCATGTGTGGGCCCAGATCCCAAATGACTTAAAGATTGTTAAAAGTTGTTCAATTGCAATTTAATTCCTTCCTTGGAAGCATTCCTGATACTTGGGAGAAGTTCTAGAGGGGTATATATACTTAAAGAAATACTACTCAAATTATCAGCTCCTGTTTTGGACATTCATGCAGACACCACTATTCTTATAATACAGTGTTGTTGTTGTTTTCCTTAAGTGGGTTTCCCTCTGAATTACTTGTAAAGGATTTCACATCACAATAATTTTCTTACCTACATTTTGGTGAATAGATCCATCATATTTTTCTCTTTAAGTGTAGGTAAGTTTTCTATTGAGGGAATTTCATAGTGATGCCTCTAAGAATCCTCTTGATGGGGTATTTTAGGAGAGAAGGGGGTCCATATAAGGATATGATTCCTCTTCTTAAGTATGAATTAAAGATTTTAAAATTGTTATGAATATTTTTAAATACATAAAAGTAGAGAATTATAATAAACTCCATATATCCATCACCCAGATTAACAATTATCAAGCTATTGCTACATTTGTTTTATCCATTCCTTCTATTCATTTCCTAGGGTATTTGAAAACAAAATCTTAGACATTAGGTCATTTCTACTTAATATGTATCTCTAAACAATGTTGATATTTGCCTTATGTAAACACAAAGACATTATCATACCTATAAAAATCAATTGCTTGGTATTATCTAATACCCAAACCATAATCAAATTTTCCTGATGGTCTTAAGTATTTTATTTAAGTTGGTTTATTTGGATCAGGGTCCCAACAAAGCCCACATATTATATTTGGTTGTCAGGTTCGTTAAGTATCTTCATCTAGAGCAGTTCCCCTCTCCTGCTTCCTTTATTTTTCAATGTCATTGACTTGTTGCAGACTAATTGGGTCAGTTGTCCTATAAAATGTCCCACATTCTGGATGTGTCTGTTTGCTTCCTTGTGGTGTCACTAACATGTTTCTCTATTCCCCAGATTTCCTTTAAGTGAACTTAGCTCGAGAGCAACAATGCTCAGTAGAAGTTTCTGTAATGATGGAAATTTTATTTGCACTGTCCAATACAGTAGCCACTAGCCACATGTAGCTACTGAACACTTCATTTTTTTTTTTTTTTAAATCCTCACCAGAGGATATTTTTTCCATTGCTTTTCAGAGTGGAAGGGAAAGAAAGAGAGAAACATCGATATGCAAGAGACACATCAATTGGTTGCCCAGGGCCAGGGATTGAGTCCTGCCGAGGTACATGCCCTTGGCCAGAATTGAACCTGGGACCCTTTAGTCTGTGGGGCAATGCTCTAACCACTGAGCCAAACCTGCTAGGGTGTTATTGAACACTTTAAGTGTGACTAGTGTGAGTGAGGAATTGAATTTTTAATTTAATTTAGTTTTAGTTAATTTAAATTTAAATATATATGTGTTTATATATGTGTATATACATTTGTAATCATGAGACTCCACCTTGTCACCTTGTTAGGGAGAGTGGCCTGGGTGTTATATGTAAATCTGTGTGCCTATGCTAACCCACACACACACAGTGGATGACACCCTAGATAAAAGGTATTGTGAGGAAAGAAAAGGACCTAGAGACATTGCGTAGGCAGGTAGAGACAGAGAAAGAATGGCTAAAGAGTTGGAGGGAAACCAGAAGAGGCCTATGTCTTAGGAGCCAAACAAGGAGTTCCCAGTTTTATTCAGGGGAGTTCAGTTAAGCCTAGGAAGAGCATAAGATGGGACATGGTATCTCTAGGATATCTATGTTACAGGGACAGTGATGTGGCAGGGTACACCTGAATTCAAGTGTGGTTGCTTCCCTTTAGCTGTGTGGCCTTGGGCAAAAGGTGGTCTGGTTTTGTGCTACAGATTCCGCAACTGTAAAATAGGGATAATATCTTCCTCAAAGAGTGATTGTGGGGATGAAATGAGTTAGCGTATGCAATGTGCCTAGAACTTTGTCGGTTCTCAATAAAGATTGATTCCTCCCATTATGTCTCTGGTCACTTATTTATTCATCGGTTTTGATTGTCACTCTCCTTGATGTCTTAGCTTTGGTGTTGGTGGTGACTCACTTGTAAGGGTCAACACAGGCCCATTCCTCATATATCACTATACTTGTACAGAAGAGGTCTGGTCAGGAAGAAAGGGACATGGAGGCAGCAGCTAGACAGAAAATCTAGAAAAGACTGTGTCAGGTGGGGATATTTACATGCCTTCCTGACCCTTCCCTTATCTTCAAGCATCTCTCAGGCCTCCAGATCTAAACTCCAGATCTAGATCTTCCTAGTGGAGTAGCCTTGGAAAACTCCAAAGGATCACTTTAGGCTGAGTTTCTATTGTGATATAAATCCCACATCAAAATAGGATTCAACTTTTAAGAACTTAAACACAGGTCTGGAAAAAAGCTGCTGCACAGAAAACAGGAAAATCTTACTCTCACATTGTCTGACCTCGTGGCAAAGGGAACTGCGGATTCCAGGGGCTGGACGACTGGGGGGCTGATGCAGGGAGCCCCGAGAGCCGGAGCCCTGTCAACACTGACAGGGACGAGCAGTGAGGAAAACTAGTTTGAGTGCCAGCAAGCTGTTATGATCCGACAAATCAGTGCTCTACTGAGGGGAGCCAAGCACCCATTGGTGTACCTCTTGGTACGTAGAGCACCAAGGACTGGTTAAGGACACAACATACCCTTCTTTATCATACTGTTTTTCCCTTCCAGGGAAAGGAACTCCGACCACCATATGAATACCTACTTTTTGTTTCAGGACATCTTTCTGCACTTGCATTTTGCAATTACATAAATCTCCAATACAAAATGTTAGTAATAAATAACTCATCACAATTACATTTTTTTAAAGAGTCAGCATTGGCCCTAACAGATTTTTCCGATTGGCTAGAAACAGCCCCTCTCCCCTCCCTTCCTTCATTCTTATCTGTTAAATACTGGGGGTGGGGGGTGCAATTTTCCCTAAGGTTAAGAACTCTTGCCCTGTCTGCCACCTCTGACGGTTTTTGCAGTGTCAACCTGTTTTTGGCAACAAAAACAGTAACTACCCATTGGGAGATAATGTCATTCATTGCTTGCCTTAGGTTAACTAAACCCCCAAAAGCGAGAGCGACAGTTTCAGTTGTGGCCAAAGCGGGATACCTAACCTTTAAACCTCTTTAAAGAGCATCCTTACATTTCTAAAGTGCACACGTTTAACCTCTTGACAGGGCTATGTTTTCCAAACCAAACATGAGGACATAACATTTCATAAGCAAGAGAGTACCTTTAGGGACAGACTACTGTATTAACCGAATTGTTACAGAAATGCCAGAGCTTGAGCGGGGGGAAGCGGGGGGATAGGTCATATAGCTGCTAAAAATGGGTAGCGCTTAAATTATAACGGAGCTATCGTCACATTCCATTTTAGATGGATACTATAAACATTGGGTTTAAAGGAAAACTCGGGCTCTTAGCATCTCGCTCTGGCGACCGCCTCTGTCCCCGGCACCCTCTAGCCCCAGAGCAGCCGGGCAAACCCACGTCGGCGCCGCGCTTTCCCAGCGGAGCGCGGGAGACACGAGCACGCCTGCGCCGTGGACCTCGCGGGTGTTCCAGGGCGGAAGGCTGAGCGTTTGAGTTTCCATGGCAACGCGACGCTTCCGCCTTCTGGAAGCTTTAGCTCCAGCTCCAGTTTTGTGAGACCCGTCCGGGTGGGAGGGACCCGGGCGCTGGGGAACAGATGGGGGTAGGAGGGGGTGGGGGCTG